TGGGATCATACGGATGTCCCTCATTTTGTCTGGCATTTTTCAATTAGCACAATTATTTGGAGATTCATCCATGTCATTACATGTCTTGCTAGTTCACTCCTTTTTATTGCTGAGTAGTATCCCATTGTATGCATATACCACACTTCGTTTATCCATTAACCTGTTGGTAGGCATTTGAGTTGTTTCCAGTTTGGGGCTATTTAAAATAAAGCTGCTGTGAACGTTTGTGCATAAGTCTTTGAATAGACATATGCTTTCATTTATCTTGGGTAGATATTTAGGAGGGGAATGTCTGGGTCATATGCTATGTGTATGTTTAACTTTATAAGAAACTGCCAAAATATCTTTCATTTTACACTCTCACAAGCAGTGCATGAGAGTTTCAGTTGCTCATTCTTCTCACTAACCCTTGATATGATCAATCTTTTTAATTTTAGACACAGGTGTACAGGGGTATCTCATTGTGCTTTTAATTTGTATTTCTCTAATGACTAAGGATTTTGAGCACATCTTTGATGTGCTTATTTGTCATCTGTATGTCTTTTTTGGTTAAGAGTCTGTAAAAATCTTCTGCCCATGTTTTAAATAGGTTGTTTGTTTTCTTATTATTGAGTTTTGATAGTTCTTTATATATTCCAGATATGAGTCCTTTGTCAATTATGTGATTTGTAAATATTTTTCTCCCACTTTGTGGCTTGTCTGTTCATTCCCTCAACAGTATCTTTCAAAGTGCAGAGATTCTTAATTTTGATAAATCTAATTTATAATTTTTTCTTTCATGGATTATGCTTTGGATGTCATATCTAAGAGATCTTTGGGTAACTCAAAGTCATGCAGATTTTCTCCTATATTTTCTTCCAGAAATTTTATTTTTATCAGGTTTTACTGATAAAATTTCATTTTATCAGGTTTTATTTTTTATCAGGTTTTAGGGCTACGATCTATTGTGAGTATGTTTGTGCGTGTGCTTCAAGATATGGATTGAAGTTTTTTTTTTATTTTGATATCCAGTTGCTTCAGCATCAATTATTGAAAAGACTTTCCTTTCTTCTTTGAATTGCCTGTGTACCTTTGTCAAAAATCAATTGACCATATATGTGTGAGTCTATTTCTGGACTCTCTATTCTATTCCATGAATCCATTTGTCTATCTTGATGCCAACACTATACTGTCTTGTTACAAATCTTGAAGTCAGGTAGTATAAGTTGTCTAACTTTGATCTTTTCCAAAGTTGTTTTGGATATTCTAGGTCCTTTGCATTTCCACATGAATTTTAGAATCAGCTTATCAATTTTGGGGAAAAAAACCTTGCTGGCTAGGATGCTGGGGTATTGATTGTGATTGTGTTGAATTAATAGATCCATCTGGGGAGAAACTGATAACTTAATAATATCATCTTTCAATTCATGAACTCAGTATCAATGTTGTGTCTCAAATCTACGCATGGCAACAAATTTGGGTAATTTGGGGCCATTATGTCTTCAAATATTCTTCTGTGTCCCACCTGCTTTGGAGACTTCAATTACATGTAGATTAGAAGTGCTCCCATTTTCACTGGTGCTCTGTTCATTTTTTCAATCTTTTTTGCTCCCTCTATTGCATATCACTATGTGTTCAAATGCACTAATCTTTTCTTCTGTGGTGTCTAATCTGCTGTTAATTCCATGCAGTATATTTTTCACGTTAATCATTGTATTTTTTATCTCTAGAAGTTTGATTTAGGTCTTTATAATATCTTCCATGTCTCTACTTAACATGTTAAGTCATTCTTCTAGCTTCTTGAACATACAGGATATAGTTATAAGAATTGTTCTATTTTTGTCAACTAATTTTACCATCTGTGTCATTTCTGGGTTGACTTCAATTGATTTTTTCCTTCTCATTTTGGGTTATATGTACTTGCTTCTTTGTAACTTCTGATTGGATGTCAAACATCATAAATTTTATCTTGTTTGGTGTTGGATATTTTTGTTTTCCTATAAATATACTGAGCTCTGACTTGGGACATAGTTAAGTTACTTGGAAACAGTTTGATCCTATGGGTCTCACTGTAAAGTTTTCTTAGGCAAGACCACAGCATCATTTTGTCTAGGGCTAATATTGCACAATTATGGAGATAAAATCCTTCAGAGTACTCTAGGGTGCGCTGTGAATTATGACGGTTGCTACTCTGGCTGGGAGAACAGGAACCGTTTCCACTTTGTGTGATTCCTTGATGATTTTTCCCTGTAATCCTTTCTAGTGGTTCTTTCCCTGGTGCCTAGTAGTTTTTTCACCTGCATCTGCTGATCAGTATTCAGCTGAAGACTTGAGAGGACCACTTGAGTGGGGATCTCCAGAGTTTTCTCTCTCTGGAGCTCTCTCCTGTCTGGTACTCCGTCCTGCAACTTCTAACTGCACTAGCCTTCCCAAACTCCCTGGTCCACTCGTCAACTCAGAGACAACTGCAAGCTCACCTGTGCTGTGCTCTGCAGGCAGTAAGCTGGGACATTTACAGAGTTCACATTGGTTATTTCCTGCCTCCAGGTGTTACTGTCCTTCATTGCCTGATGCCTGATGTCATGAAAATTGTTTCATATATTTTGTCCTTTTTTAAAAGTTGTTTCAGTAGGGTAGGTAAATTTAGGCTCTTTTACTCAATCTTCATTGGCAGCAGAAGTCTTGGGTTGCCTATCGTCTTCTTTTTGATTCTTGGAGTATTTCACACATTCCAGTTATAAGTCCTTTGATATATATATATGCATTTAAATATCTTCTTCCGCTCTATGGCTTGTTTTTGTACTCTTTTAAACATGTTTTTTGAAGAGGGATGTTCTCAATTTTAATGTTGCCCAACATATCACTTTTTAATTTTAGGCTTAGTGCTTTCTGTGTTTACCTTTCCCAAAGATAAGAGGTGGTTTTCTATATTTTTGGTGAGGAAGATTTGCCCTGAGCTAACATCTGTGCCAATCTTCCTCTATTTTGTGCGTGGGTCACTGCCACAGCATGGCTGCTGATGAGTGGTGTAGGTCCATGTGCAGGAACCAAACCTGGGCCGCCAAAGTGGAGCATACCAAACTTAACCACTAGGCCACAGGGCTGGCCCCCATTTTATTTTTTTCACTTTAATTTTGAAATCTACAAACCATCTGGCATTGATTTTTGTGTATGCTGCAAGATAGGGGTCAAGATTTATCCAACTGACCTAGCACCCCTTAATGAAAAGTCTGTCATTTCCCCACTGTATTGCAGTGTTAACTTTGTCATCAGTTTAATGACCATATGTGTGGGTCTGTTTCTTGGCTCTCTGTACATACAGGTTTTTTTTGTTTGTTTGCTTTTGTTTTTTTGAGGAAGATTAGCCCTGAGCTAACTACTGCCTGTCCTCCTCTTTTTGCTGAGGAAGACTGGCCCTGAGCTAACAGCCGTGCCCATTTTTCTCTACTTTATACGTGGGACGCCTGCCACTGCATGGCTTGCCAAGTGGTGCTATGTCCACACCCAGGATCTGAACCGGCGAACCCTGGGCCGCCGAAGTGGAATGTGAGAACTTAACTGTTGCGCCACCGGGCCGGCTCCCAAGCCGTTATTTTTTTTTTTAAAAGAAAAGTTATTATAGAGAATAGGCTAGTTGCACTATCCAGATAAAAGAAGTGGGATTGCCAGGCAGCAGAGACATCCATGAAGCTAAATAAGCTTCGGTTCAGGGACACTCATTGTACCAGTTCCCATGAGAATAGGGAGCTGCTGGGAGAGGTGGAGTGTCCTACTTGGGAAGGGAAGCCAGAATGAACTCAGGAAGCATATCCATGGAAGGATTCTGGTAAATCATCATAGAGATCTCAAAAAAAAAAGGCATCCGGATCTCTAAGCCTTCAGTAATTTTTTATTTCCTCATTCTAAATAAATATTATCCTAATTTTGTACTTGTAATTGTTTATCTTTTCCTTTAAAAGGAGTCTCCCCAAACTGTATAAGCTTCAAGTTCCAGAAAAACCAAGATCTGCCCTTGCAGATAGTTGAGGATCTATTTGAGGTCACTGATCATAAATTTATAGGGTTGCCCCTCATCCGGTTGTGTGACTTGCTCTAACAGTACTCGTCTGCTTGGGTGCAGAAGAAAGTAGAGTTGAATTTATCCAGAGTTGGAGTTTTCTGAGTTGGGAGCGTGTTATTAAAAATGTGGACCACTAAATTTAAACTGGATAGGAGGGAAGTGAAGAAAGGAGGTCTGATGGATCATGAGAAAGCAGAGGAGTCAATAGGCTACAAAGACTGTTGAGAAGAAAGATGATTACAGAGGAAGAACTTGAAAGATCAAGTTGGAAGATACGTGGTTAAAGTGGGATGCTGGAGGTGAATGACAAAGTGCAGAGGAGTGATTGAGGTGATTTGGAGGTCACAGGAGATGATATGGTCATTTGCTCTAAGGAAAAGTGTAAACGCTAAGACAGTCTCCCAGGATCTGCACAATCTGTGCCTTGCCTGCCTCTGTAACCTTCCTCAGCCCAGCGTCCCTCTCACTCGCCTCACTGCTGCCTCATTCAGGTCCTCAGGAGCCCCTTCCAGCCTGAGGACTTGTATATCTAGAAGTTTCTCTTTAGTTTCTCTTTTGTCTGGAATACTCTTCTCCAATACTCAGCCAGCTTCTACTTCTACTCATCCTGGGGGGGTCTCAATTTAAAGTCTTTTCCTCAGGGAAGTCTTTCCAAACCTACCCACTCTTCTCCCAGGGGGTGGATCCTCCTGTCATATGCCTAAATAAGATTCTCTATTTTTCTTCCACAGTAGTTATCAACTGTATTGTAGAAGTGATGGGACTATCTGTAAAATAAAATTATCTGTAAAATTTAATAAACTTATCTGTAATTGGTAAAATAAAACACACACAAACTTCTCCAGGATTGAGGAGTGTGGGAACAGGTCTGGCTTCCCTCTCTATCGTATTTGGGATCCTCAGACTTGCACATACTAGAACATTCCATAAATATGGGTTGTATGAATGCAATTTAAGACACTTTAGTATAATAGCTTTTTCCAGCATACCTTTTAATGTATAAAGATATAAGACATGACTTAACAGATAATCTAAAAATGGCATATAATGTAAAAAGATTGTAAATTTCCTTTCTAAAATACACACAAAGAGACATATCTGTCTTCAACCTCTCCTCAACCCTTGTTTAATCTCTGCAGATACAAATCTAAAACAACACAGTCGAAGATAGGGAAAAACATTTAAGGATTTCTTATATAGAAATGAGATAATTGGATCCCTTATGTGAAATTTAAAAAATTATTGCAACTTCCAAAAGTAAATAGTACAAGTTATATTACAATTTTCCATTAAAAAGGACCTTATAACAGGAATGGAGGGAGTGGTGAATTTTCTAAAGCGAACAACACATTTGGAGTTATGGCAAAATCTGTGTTCATATACTTAAAAAGAATTGCTGTGGTTTATTAGCTGCCATAAAAATTACACTCACTTGTGTTCTAGAAAGGCTTTAAATTTAAGAAAAACAACAACAACTCCCCTTGCTTGTTCCTTCTCTCAATCTTCCTTACGGTTGTCTCTTCTACCCTTCCATAAGACAAGTCTGATTCTCCTTGCTTTCATCTTTCAAATCTCTGCCTAAAAGCCTCCTCAAGGAAGACTTCTCTCTTACTCTATCTGACCTAGTCCACCCAGTTACTCTTTCACCTTACTGTGTGTTTATTTCCCTCAGGGCACAGCATTTCTCACAATCTGTAATCATGTTGACCTTTTGTTTACTATCCTATGCAACCGAGGGAATGTCACCACCATAAGTGCAGAACCTTTGTCACCACTCCCAGCCTACTATAATTGTACAACATTTTCAAACTCAGAGGAATTCCTAAATACTAATGTTGTGTTAATAAGAAAATGCCTGAGGTTATTTTTTTCCAGAAATGTTCACTTATCTCCCAATATTTTTAGCACTATCTATTATTTATACTATCTTCTAAAATTTGTTTTGGCGCTTTGTTTTTCATAAATAAATTGGAAAAGATATTTCTTTACGAGATGGATCATGTTAAACTCGGGACCAGGGATCATAATTGTAAAACACATACAAGTAGATAAGTAGAACTAGGACATATAGTAAGTTTCCCTTTCAGTCCAATATCCCAAGGGTAGATTTTAAACAAACACAAAGTCAAGCGGAAGAAACTGGCAACAAATGGAGAGAGTGTGAGACTTTAAAATGTCCCAGAGACAGACTCAGTCAAATCCTTTGGCTCCACTAAGCACTCCCACCACTCCGGCAGGGTTGCTCCGGGGACTAGCCCACGCCAGTCTGGGTGGGTTCCCCCTGCCCTCCAGGCTGGTGGCTAAGGCGCGCTTCCCCTGGTCCTCGCCCTCCTGGTCCAGGCCCTTCGGTCTCGTGGGCAGAGATCAGCGGGGTCGCGGACTCGTCAAGGCGCCACCGTCTCCCCAGGATGTGTTGCTTCGCAAGCTGTCAAGTAGAGAAACCCCGCGAAACTCGTGATTTCGTGCACAGTATAAACTCCGAACTGACACTCGTCTGAGCCAAGATGGCAAACCCCAGACCGAACAACCAACGTTCCTCGCTCCTCCCCGCGCCCAAGCCTCGGCAGCGCTGCCCACGCCGAGGACTGGGATGCGCTCTCCAGTGACGAGGCCGCAGAGGGGTCCGGCCGCCACCGCCGCCGGGCGGCCAAGGACCCCGCTCCAGCCTCCGGAACTACAGATCCCAGGGTGCCTCTCGGACTCCCGCTCCCTCCCTCTCCCGCTCCCTCCCTCCCTTCGTCCCCTCCTCCCCCGGCCCTTGTTGTTTTGGCTGGAAGCGCCCCGGCGGAGTTTCAGAGAAAGTCTGGACAGAAACCTGAGCCAGCCTGAACGTGGGAAGGGGAGGAGGAAAGGGAGGAAGAGAGAGCCGGGAGGCCGGCAGAGGGAGGGATCGGGGCTGGGGGCCGGGCCGCTCCGAACCTGCCGCGCGCCCCAGGGTGGGGGAGGCGGCGCGGGAGGAGCGCGAGGGGACGGGACAGTGGGATCAGTCCCCGGAGCCTAGCAGCCGAGCGCCTCGTTCCCCCGCCGCTCCCCGCCCTCTTCGGCGGCCGCGAGAGCGATCCCCGCCTCTGGCGGGACCCGCGCCCTCCCCAGCTCCCGGCGCTCGGCGCCGCCCGGCGCTTCGCTGCCCACCCCTCGGCTCCCTTCGTGGCCCGGGACCTGCGCTGCGCCCGCTGCCCACGGGACCCTCGCGGCTGCCCCTTCCCTTGACGTCTCCCGGGTGCCGCGGGGAAGGGACCCACCCTCCGGCTAGAGGGGGAAGGAGAGGATCGCCCGGGGCGCACCGAAACCGAGAGCTGGCGAGCCGGAGTGGGCGCCGCGCGGGGGCTTTGTGTGTGTGTGTGTGAGTGTGTGTGTGTGCGCGCGCGCGTGCAGCGTAGTGTGTGTTTGGGAAAGCGCTCTGGGGAGGTCCTGTCCCTAGGGGGCGGAGCGCAGGGGACCGAGGTTCGGGCGCCTTGCTGGGGCAGAGTCCCGCGGAGCCGGAGCGCTGCCGAGGCGGCCGGCGGGACGGCGCGCCTGGCGGCGAGGCGGGCGCACTGAACAGAGACCGGGGCGCCCTCGGCGCGGCGGCGGCCCCTGCCCCGAGCTGTCGGCCTCGCTGGCGCAGCCCACTCGTGTTGACGGCCGTGGACCCGCGCCGGAAGGCTCGGACACCAAGAGCCACCAGCGCGTCACGGAGCCCGCCCGCCCCGTCGGCCCGGGCTGCGCCGCCGGAGAGCCGGGCCCTCGGCGCTGCGCGGCCGGCGGGCGTCGGCTGTGTCGGGAGCGCGCCCGGCCGTCCCTCTGCTGCCCGGCCCGGAGCCCGAGAGGCGCACACCATGAGCGGCGGCGAAGTGGTCTGCTCGGGATGGCTGCGCAAGTCCCCCCCGGAGAAGAAGTTGAAGCGTTATGTAAGTAGAGCCTCAGCCTCCGCGCCCGCACCCCTCCCCGCCGGCCCCGGCGGCTGCAGCCGGCCGCGCGGGGCTGGTGCTCCAACTCGGCCCCCATCGCTTTCCCCTGATCCCTTCCCAGGCAGGCCCGGGACCGTGTCTACACTCACGCCCTGGCCTCCCCTTTGCCCGGCAACTTTCTTCCTCCAGATTCCAGACGCCTGCCCTGCGGGCCTTCTCGGCCCATAGGAGGGCCCGGCATTTCCAGCTAAACGCCCGCTGTGAGTTTTATTATTCCTTTTAGCAGGGGTGAGGAGGGGAGCCTACTCCTCTCTTTATATCTGCATCTCATCCTTACGGGGCTGCTGGATCCTCAGTTTCCCGCACTAGGAAAACCGCTGAGGTCTGAGCACTCACCAGCCCTCTCTCTGGTCCGCGCTCCCCCTCGCCTTCTCTCGAGCTGGGCTGCGAGAAGCGGGCTGCGGACCTGGGAAGTTGGTGTTAGAGACAAGCATCTCAAATCCGCGCAAAAGGGAAAGAAAAGTTATCACGCGCCCTACCGTTTGCTTAGCAGCGTTCACATTTTCGCGGTTTTGAACTGAGGGCCATTGGCGTTTGGCCCGAGAGCCTTGGCAGTTTGCTGCGAGAGGAGGGCGCTGGGGGGAGCCTGGTGGCTCGTGTTTGGGCGTCTTCGACACGCTGTCAAGCCCCGCAGGAGGGGACAGCTGGGGCCAGTAAGGATTTCTGTGTGTTGCGGTCCTTTCCCAGGCCACCAGAGTTGCTTAAATGGTATTTGTGTAATTGATACAAGATGCTGATTGTGTGTTAAACCGTTTTAGCTGTTGGGGAAAATATTCCTTGAAAGAATCAACCTTTCTCTGGTGGAAGTCTGTGTCCTTTTCAGCGGTCTGGGACCTTGTCCCTTCTCCCGCGTTGGTTCTTTTGTCGCTGCCCCTTGCAAAGAAAAGAAATGACGCTTTTGCCCTGGCATTTGAAGCAAATATTTTTCTGGTAAAATATGTACCAGAAGCAAAATTTATGCCCTCTTAAATATAAATTTACTACCAGGGGACTGACACTTCTTCTAATGGAAACTGTTTCTTGTTGACGGACGTCTACACCCACTGTTAAAGCTCGGGTTAATCCTGTTAGTCACTGTTTGCTTGCATAGAATGGAGTGAAGTGAAATAGTTAACTTCACTGACAACTCACCAGTGGGTTTCTGGTTTACTTTCTGCCAGAATTTGTTATAGACAAGTGATTCTCATTTAAAGAGTTGATGCCACAGATCCTAAGAAAGTTCTCCAGAGATTTGCATCCTTTCAAATCCCACCTCTCCAGTTATTGCAGTTTGTGTGAATATTCTGGTAGAGATGCTAACTTTATCCCAAAGATTTGGGAGAAACAGTGGTGTTTTCAGCTCTCAGTTCTAAAGTGAAGGTTGTATATGTGTGAGAAGAGGAAGCAGGGAGATAGATGTGTTTGTTTTGAGAAGGCACAGTTTAGGAAAGACAGAGGTTTAAGTGATTGGGTTCTTGGGGGAGCTAAAGAATGGTACATTTGCTGAAGTGGGAAGTGATAGTAGAGATTTACCACATTCTTTCACGTGGCTGGTTTGTGGCTCTCTCAAAAGGTGCAGAGCACTGGACTAGGCACCCTAAGATTAGAAAATAGTAGGAAAAAAGCCCTGCTTCTTGGACTTCCAATTTAATATAATATAAACCAGGAAGAAAATCAGCCAAAAAGATTATAACAAGGACAGAAAAAATGGAAAGTCTAAATAAAAAAATGTGTATTTCATTTGGTCGTTACGACAAGTTTTCTCAGGTAGGTATTATGTCTGTTTTACAGATGGGAAGACAGTGTATATAACTAGAATGTACCAGAGGTGGGATTTGAACCCAGTTCTGCCTGACTGCCTGGGCTCTAAAAGGTTAATGACGCTCATCTAGTTCATTTCAAGTAGAGCTCAGACTAGATCATCTCTAAAGGCCCTTTCAGATTATAACTTTCTATAAGTCTGTGAGTATTACTTGAGAATACAAGGAAGAGGTGGGCTGTGGATCAGATGTGCTGTGCTAAAGAAGCATAAACCCTTCAAGCAGCTTTCTGTGTCTTGGGAAAGATGAGTCCAGTATATGTGAAAAGGTAGACCAACGCCTGGTGGTTTCTTAGTGTGTGCTCGAGCTCAGTGGGATGGGTTTTGTTTTAATAGATGTTTTGAGGAACACGCTCAATGTAGTCGGAGACCATGAGAATACTTTTGAGAGACAGTGGGCTCCCTAAATTGTGTTGTCAGCAAGGGGAAGGATATGCCTAACAGCTGGGAGGAGGCAGGGTTTGTCTTGCCTGGCGGAGTACTGGTGCTTTGTTTACACACTAGTGACTGGGCTGTGGAGATGGCCCAGGAAGACAGTGGGCAGGGTGGCTCTCAGAAGTAAGGGGTCCAAGAGGATGACCGCAATGTTTTAAGTTAAAATGAAACTTGTCTCACATTTTAGCTGTCAAGTTGGTTGCCCAGAAGATTTTGATATTCCCAGATTATTGATCTTTTGGCTTTGGTATCCAGTTTAGATTGTTTTTGCTAAAGCGGTTTTGACCCACAAGGACATGGGCATGTATGCATGCGTTTCCTATGCTTGTTTTCTTTTCATGTAAAATCTTTATTTTCTGGATGAAAGGAAACATTGTTGGCCACCCAATAGGCAAAATGTGGCTTGATAATGGTTTTTGATGAATGGATTTGCTGTGAAAGATATCTTGGATGCGCGGTACTATAATTGTTAAATGAGACATCAAAGAGTTTGAGCATTGATTCTGTTGGGAAATGTTTGGCCCATGGGATTTTGACAGTCATCTCGCTGTTTACAGTGTTTATAGGGTAGTCCAGACATTGATTAAGATGATCCTGAAGGGCTTTTAAGTGACAAAAACTTGTTTTCGTTTTATCTTTAAAGTCATCTCAAGTTATGGTCCCAATGCATTCCATTTACAACTCCATTTTATGTTTACTGTTCCGTAGTCAACTCGTGCAGCATTGTATTCTTTGCATACTAGTGTGTTCATCTGATATGGAAGCTTTCCTTGAATTTCCTAAAGAGAGCAAAAGTGACATAAGAATGAAAGACTGGAGTAGTGAGCAGATTCCTAGCCTTTTCTTCTCTTTTAAATTGTTTCTATATATTTATTTGCAAAGGGGTAAGAACTTCTTGTATGTGTTTCATCCTCCGAATTTCTTAGTCTTCTTAAACTGGAGGTGAAAATATTCATGTTTCTTTCAGTTCTGCTACTACTGTGTTGCTGTTTTTGTCCTGAGTTATATATTAAACAGCTGCTTTCTCACTTGGTTAAGGAATCATGTACAGATCACCGTCACTAGGGTTACAAAAAACAAGTACACTCTTGGTAGTATGCCCTCAACAGCGGTGCTCAGATTTTTTAAGCGTTACTTAAAGACAAATCAGCCATTTGAAATAATGGTGGAATTTTCATCAGGACCTGAAATTTTAGCTAAGATAAAATGCAAGTCTGAAAACAAAGGCTTGATTCAAGCCAGCTGGCTATCACCAGATCTCTGCAGGAGGAGCTTCCCTGTGGCCTGCCTCTAGCCTGGCCACCAAGTTTGGCCTCCTCCATGGCTCAGCTGTCAGCACTGGGCAGATGTGCCATCTCTGCAGGAGAACCTGCTTCTGAGGCCAGAGCAAGGTGGCCTGTTAGCTGCCAGGCAGCCTGGGAGCAAGACCTCAGCCAGTTCTCCGGTGAATAATCTGCACCCAGCTGGGGTTCTGCTCTTCAGCTGTCAGTTAATAGGATGGTTATCTGGACTTCCAGAACACACCCCTGGTTCTGAAAATGGGCCTAGAAACAGAAATAACCTTCCTCTGTGGAGGAGAGGGACACAGGCAGGCAGAGTAGCAACATCTCCATGTTTCAAGGACAACCTGGGATCTGTGCTAAGCTGAAGTCCCTGCTCAAGGGTGCCACTACCACAAAGAGGGCTGTGATGTCTGGAAGCTCTTCCTGCCCTTTTTTGGCAATTACCAGTAGCGATCAACGGTTCCGAAGCTTTTGCTGTCATGTGAAGGAGCATAATTATTCTTTTGAAGGAATTTTTTTTTCTTGCAGTCCTCATGTTAGTGAACATTCCATTCAAATTCCTAATGTTTTCTTTTTACCTTTTCCAGTGTGGCAGAACAAAGATCAGCAACTACCGATTACATCCAGCCTTTGTAGTAGTTAATGCAAGTTCATTCTTTCATTGTGCTTGGGTTTAACGATGAGTGCAAAACCCTCCATGTAAAACTTGCCGAATTCTTAAGTTTGATTGTTGTCTTTTGGGGTTCAGAATTACCATTACGAAGGTGTATGAGTAGTTTTAGAATTCCGCTGTTTTAAAATTTTAAGTTTTTTAAAAAGATCATCTTTGAACAAAATAGAATAATATGGCAAGAGTTGTACTTGGATAATTGGGTTGACAGCTGAATTGGTTATTTCAGTGTGTTTTGCCATTTTAAGTCTGCTTAAAAAATCTGAAAGAAATAAAATGACAAAGCACTTTTTTTTTTTAAAGATTTTATTTTTTCCGTTTTCTCCCCAAAGCCCCCCAGTACATAGTTGTGTATTCTTCGCTGTGGGTTCTTCTAGTTGTGGCATGTGGGACGCTGCCTCAGCGTGGTCTGATGAGCAGTGCCATGTCCGCGCCCAGGATTCGAACTAACGAAACACTGGGCCGCCTGCAGCGGAGCGCGCGAACTTAACCACTCGGCCACGGGGCCAGCCCCCGGCAAAGCACTTTTTAAGATTGAGTAAAATTCGGTATTTTAGAGTCGACAAAGTCTTGATAATTTGCAGATTGAGAAAGTGTAAGAGGTGATAGATGTGGAACATTGCCTGCCAGCACTCCTGATTGTCTTACAGAAACTAACACAGGAGACGGGCCCTCCTAGCAGGTACACCACTACATTTTTGAAGGTTTGGGGTAAAACGTGCTATGGTGGAAGGAACCCGGGACTGAATGTCAGGACCCAGGATTCCACTTGGCTTTGCCACCACCCACCTGATCTTTTGACCATTCTGATCCTCAGTTTCCTTGTCTGTAAAATGGGGAAGGGGTGGGCAAATAGACTTTCTGAACTCTCATTTGGTTTAACATTCATCTTCTCAGGCGTTTCCTTGGGAGGGAGGGGCAGTTGGGGAGCTTCTCTGTGGACCTCCTTTTTGGGAAATAAATCTTAGTTTATTGTACATCTTAAAAAGTTTAGTGAATATATTAGGAACTACTTAAGCAGAATTCTTTGGGGAACCTCTGATGTCCCCCCACCCTGTTTTTTGTTTGCTTTTTTTTTTTGTGCAGGGAACATTGGCCCTGAGCTAACATCTGTTGCCACTCTTCCTCTTTTTTTCTCTCTCCCCAAAGCCCCACTGTGTGGTTGTATATCCTAGTTGTAAGTCCTTCTAGTTCTTCCATGTGAGCTGCCACCACAGCATGGCAACTGACAGATGCGTGGTGTGGTTCCACGACCGGAAACGGACCCGGGCTGCCGAAGTGGTGAGAGTGCCAAACATTAACCACTAAAGCCATCAGGGCTGACTCTGACGTTTCCCTTAACAGAAAGCACGTGCACTGTGCACAGGGCTGTGGGGTTCCTGTGTTGGGTGCTGTGTCTCCAGCACCCAGAGCAGTGCCTGGCTCAGAGTAGAGCTCACCAAGTATCTGTTGACTGAATAAATAAACAGGTATTTCTGGAGTTTTTATAATGTGCCATGTGTGGAATACAGTGGAGGGAAAGGCCCATTCCCTGCCCTTAAGGAGTTTCTAATCTGTTTGTGAAGACAAGCTGTAAATGCACGCGTATTTAAATTGTTTTACAAGACATATGTTATAAGACCATATATGATTAATTGCCAAATGAATGATAGAGACAACAATGTCTTAAGAGTTTAGACTGAGGGGGAGGGATGGGGGGGGCAGGGAAAACATCACAAATGAATTTCAGGCTCGTTCTTGGAAGAATTGAAGTATTGCTGGCAGATATAGCAAAATCATAAGGGAAGCCCGGTTTTAAAGGAAGAACAAAGACTTTGTGATGAATTTAGACATCCTAGTGAAAGAACGGCTTCAGAACACCTCAGTTTCATGCACG